GTATATAGTATAATATAAATAAAAAATTTTATTTATACCACATGCTCTTTTATTAGTTATTAAATTATTTCATAGACACAGATTTTATAACATGTAAATAAAATATATAATATAAATGTAATCATATATTTACAAATAAAATGAGTAAACATATTTTTATGTAAAAATGAATAAAATAATATTACCAAAACATCAGCAATTGCCATTCAACAACCACATGTTCTGTTATTACTTTTATTTTATATAAATAAAAGACACATAACTTATATGTAAATAAATAAACATTTAAAATGAATAATCTAAAGATAAATAAAATGTATAATACAGAGGTTTATTATTCACCCATAAAATTAGCCTATATTTATGTAAAAAAATAATAATAATAATAATTTACTAAAATAGCAGCAAGTGCCCACATGCTCCAGTATTACTGTTATTGTATTATTTTATATTATTATTTATATATATTTAATAAGCCTTACGCAAATATTAATAAACAAAATAAAATGTATAATATAAAAGATCAATCAAATGTATTCATTTTTTTAGTTGTACATAAAATGAGCCTATATTTACGTAAAAAAAATAATAAAATAATGTGATAAAAAATAGCAGAAAGCTCCATGCAACAACCGCATGCAGTCTTTAATTAGCTTTAAATGGCTTTCTGCAAAACTACTTTTTTACTTCACTCTGCTTTTGGTTTTCAAAGCATGTCTTTCCAGGGCCAGGTAAGAAGGTCATGAAAGGGCACAAAGGCGGAGTTATGGAGGGAGGCCCACCACTGCATTGTGCTTTCCGGCCATCAATCAGGCCTGAATCATCTTTGAAAGACAGTCATCTATCAAACCCTCAGAAATATCAATCACTGCAGGGTCAAAATGCAAAAGCGGGTCAAAGAAGAACCACTTGATGCTGGTCTTTCATTTTGAGTCACTAACCATGGCTTTCGTGAAGGCACTCAAGAGATGAAGCGAATGGATTCAGCTGTGGAGGAGGGTAAGGATACAACACACTTCAAATGTTTGCATCCAGCCACAAGTGTAGTGCATTTGCAGCATGTTTTAATAAAATAAAATAAAAATTAAATTAAATTAAATTTAAAAAATACAAGATAAATAAAATATTTTTTTTCTAAACTCAAATTAATTAAGGAATGATAAAATTCTTCAACATACATATTAATTATAATTATATATTAAAATGTACTTTTAATTAAAGCAATCAGTTTCTAATTATATGCGCAGACAGTTTTTTTTATCCATGTGAAGTGGAAGATCATTTATGAGTTGATTTGAAAGCATCAACAAAGCAAAAGTGGTAGGAAGCAACTGACCTGCTGACACTGAGCTTAGACTCATCACATCCAGGACTCAACTTTAATGGGCCTTTAAGCCTGATTGCAGGTCAGGGGCCAACACAGGGGCCAAACACCCAACAAGGACTTGAGGAACATGGAGAAAATGTGCTGGAAGAGGTCTATTTTTTGTATTCTGCTCTGCATTTCTGTACTGATAGTCTGTAATTTTACGCCTGTTTCACTTACCTAAGCCTTATTATAAACAGAAAAGACCTGTCAATCGATTCAATCAAATTTCTGATAAAATTCATTGCATGATACGCTTATTGATTAATTAAAATAATTGCAAACAATCGCATGTCAGCATTTGTCGGTCTTCATAGGAGCATCACTGCTTTGCTTTGAAACTAAAGTTGTCTGTAGACACAGGACAGAGGACACAGTTACAAAAGACTAGAGCGTCTTTCAATAACTGCACTTTGAGATGAACAAGACCTTGTTAGTTTTAATGCGAGGGCATAAAAATATCCCAATGGATATGAGTCACAGTAGCATATACCAACCGAAGTCCAGCGTAGCGTGTCTGTTAATTCCTTTGCGGTTTGGCTTTTTCCTCCACTTCAAATTACTGGGTTGTTATACATTTCACTTTCAAAGTTGCGTCCCAGATTCTATCAAGTCCTTTTCTCAAATAGAATTGCCTGAGAGTAATGACATATTGCAAATCCAGACAGAAACTGATAAAAACAGGGTTTAGCTTTCAACATTTGGAGACTTAAATCTTAAAGTGTGTTTAAGAAAAAATTTGGAGAGTGATTTCCCAAAAAAGCCACCATAAAAAAAACAACAACAACAACGTTGCTTTTTGTCCGACATCAACACTGACTCAATCAATGGAACCAATCTGTTTGTTTAATCAATATAAGTTGAGGGGAAACCTGCTTAAAACATTCATGAGTGGTGTGAGCAAAAACATGTTAGAAATGGTATAATAACGGACAGTGTACTGAAGCCCAATAGCAAACACTTATCAATACCTTAGCAACTACCCAAAACATTCTATCAACCACATAGAAATTGCTTAACAACTACCTACTGTAAGCAACACCCTAGAAGCTATCCAGAAAATACTTGCAACCACCCATAAAACCCTTGCAACTGGGTTA